CAGTATCAAAGTCAAAAACACTGTAAATGGACAAAAAGGCAGTTCTTAGCACACTGTCCTAAAAATGTATTTGACCATGGAATATATTATTTGAAATAAATCTGTATATTTTATAAAGTGACTACCTTGGAAAGGAAAGTGCTCATTGAATGTTTTGCCTGTTAGAAAATCACTGGTTGTGGTCATAGATATTGAATCCCTCTCAACTTTATCTTAATGCAAACTCTCCTGTTCTCACAGTGAAAACCAATAGTAGACCTTTCCTTCTTTGTAGTGCCTTAGTGCAAACAGGATTCAAACTCTTGGCTATGCTTTCCAATGGCCTCACTAAGTTGGTGGGGAACGTGAATTGATACAAAAGTAATTCCTATGAAGGAAAACTACACAGTAAGCACAATTTTTTCTAGTCTATTTGCTAATGATGCATAATTCTAGTTTGATAAAGTTACAGCTATTCATTTTGATTGCAGTAACTAGAGGTCGAGTAACTATATCATTCGACCACTCAGTTTCTTTTCTCTCAGTCATTGAATAAGAAATAAATTAAGTTCTGTGTGATTTCTGAGGAAATCATAACAGTTGGTGTGAATTTCCCCTTGCATGTGACAAAACATAAACTCATCAACATCCTGTGAGGCAGATAAGTGGGCAGTTCTTTTCATTCTGCCTACTAGGTTCAGAGAGGTGAACTGACATTTAAAGGCACACAGTAGATATACTGTTTAGAGCTGGAAACAGAAGCCAGCACTTCAGTTATAATTCAGCAGTAAATGAAATTGGACATCTTTTAAATCAAAGGATGGAATCTATGTATGGGTAACTACATTACCAACATTTTCAGTAGGTACTATATGGCCCCATCATAAAGCGTGTATCACAATGGTAATAGAGGAGGAGAATCAACCATGTGTTCTCAGGAAAGGGGCCTCTGAGCATAAGATCTCAAACCAGTTATTGTCAGGCTAATTCAAAATGAATGATAGAAAGTGTTCAATTCTGAGAGAGCAGGACCGACTTGTTTCTCAATCCAAATGATGAATCATTTCTCACCCTCACCTGTGATACAAACTACTCATTTACTGGCGGTTTGTTTCCCCTCTCAGTATTCCATCTGCATAGTAACACCAGCTGACACATACGAAAAGAAGAGAAAGAGAACAAGTTGGCAGGGAGTCAATATATTTCTTTGTCTTATTATTACGGAACTCTAGTAGCATTTAGTCGGTGAGTCTGAGCAGAAAACGAGTATTTCGAAAGTGACTCAGTTATCAGGGGAAATGATGAAAAGCACAACAACAACAACAAAAATCCATGGATTAATTAGCAGGTCGATGGTAGTTGAGTAGCTATTACTAAATTACATGGTTTGCATGCAAAAGAAAGAGTACATCTTTGAAGTTTTTCCAGCTTGGGTGACTTGTGAGTTAGAATTCTAGGTCCATGAAAAGAGATTTCCACTGATTGCTTGATGGGTAATGAGATCAGAAAAGATTGTTATCTGGATTTCCTTCAATTCTACACATTCAAGACTTAATCTTGTTTTCTGTCAGTGATATATCCTTCTTGTTATAGTTACTGACAGTGAGATTTGAAGAGTTGATTAATAATAAATAAAGAAAGCAGAGCTAACCATACCATAGGAGAGGAGAAAAGTCAGGATCAGCAAAATAAGACTAGTGTTTGGTGCCAGCAGAGATAAACACATTCTGAAAGAGGGAAAGAACAAGTAATAATCTATTTCTTAGAAGAGATACAAGTTTTGAAAAGAAGTGAACCAACAGATGCACCTAGAGGCCCACTGTTTCATTAATCCTTTAGCAAATGTTTATGGACACATATGTACATACAAACACACACACACGTATACACATATATACCATATATGTATGTCATACCTATGTATTATGCACCTTTTCTATATCATTTATATATACATATACTTGAAATACTTATATACATATACCTAGTGTATATGTGTGTGTAAATTCTAGACAGGATGCAGAAATAACAAAATACAAAGGCATATTATCTACTAGATTACTAACTGAAACGTGCTAGGGATAAAAGTAAAAGTAGAGCCAGTTAAGGGAACAGGAGTTCAAAGCGGTCACAGGGGTCAGATTTAAGTATTTAATAGTGTCAGGGTAAGCCCCTTTGAAAGTCGACATTTCAGCAGAGACTTGAAAGAGGCAAGAGCGTAGGGAAGACTTGTCTAATCAGAGCTAATAGCTCATGCAAAAGTCCTCCATTGGTGTGTGGTCAAGGAGTTAGACATAGAGGAAAGATACCAGTGTGACTGGAGTAGAATGCATAAAGTGGGGAGGAGGTAATAGGAAATGAGGCCAGAGAGGTAACAGGGATTAGGTCGTATAGATCTGGTTGGTCTCTATAAAGATCCAGTATGGAGGGTTGAAATGTAGGTTTGGGTCTCTCTCCCCAATCCGGTGCAAAAGAAGCAAGTTGTTTATGACAGCAACAATAGAGATAGTATTGCAGTAACATAATGTGTGAGATTACTCAGAAGGAAAGAATTATCCTTGAGGCATTACACATAAATGCAATGAAAAGCAAACAACAAGGAGAGACATTTATGCAGAGAGGAGAATGTTATTCTAGGAACTGGGAGCCAACCAGATTGCGCTAATGTGCATAATAATCAAACTGTCAGAGTGCTTTCCTTTAGGTCTGCATCTAGGCAGGCATTGCTTACAACATTTTATCTCATTTCCAAATGACTTTTAAGCCCATTAAAATGTTGTTTTCATTTCAGTTAATAATTCAGCCAATAATAGAATTATGAAATACAACCTTTGCTGATAGCTATTTCCAGAAGGCAGATTGGATGAACCTAGGAAGTGGAACAGGAACTACAGGGAAGTTTTCCTGTACAGCACTCAATATGGTATAAGCAGAGGTCAATAATCAAGCATGCTTCATAATCTCCGTTCTTATTTTTACTGAAAGAAAACAAGTTTAGGGTAGTGAATTGTTCCTATTGGAGCTGTTCTTTGGACAGTTTTTAGAAGCCTAAAGCTGAGCAAATTGATGGAAGGGAGCCATCTTTAGTACTTCTTTGGCTTACTACTCCACAGAACTTCCATTCTTAGCAGGAGTTTGACCAAGAAACCAAAGCTTCTTCTGACTGTGAGGGCCAGGTGTGTGTGTGTGTGTGTGTGTGTGTGTGTGTGTGTGTGTGTGTGTGCGTGTGTGTGTGCACGTTTCTTTCATTTAGGTAAAACATTATCCTAGTGAATATTTCTGAGCTCTGTACATTCATTCCAAAGATATATGTGCTGCTTGACTGTACTCCGTTTTAACAAAAATGATTTCTCATCATAAATAGATATATTAATAGTTCCAGGAATAAGGTGGAAGCCCTACCATAGCCACATTTTTCACAGAATTGTTGTTGATGATGGTTTCTTTGGATAAGTATTTCAGGTTTATCAGTCTGCTGCTCCTCTTTGCTCAGACAGAATCTTTAAGGGTAACATTCGTCACTTAACCTCTTCAGATGACTAATCAGCAGCACATAATCATTCACATGACCTCCAAATGCCACCTGCTTGAATCAACCAACTTTTTTGATGCTACAATTAGTGTTCACGCTCAGTGTGATTTCAGATGGGAAGCTGCATAATGGAAAATATAAAAAACTAAGTGAGGATACTTCCAAATTTCCTTCTCTTCCTTAGTACAACTGGCTTTTCCCTTGAGGTTATAAGACCATGTAGTAAAGTCTCCAGACTAAATTTAAGAAAAGGATTATTTTTTTCTTTATACTGGAGAACCTTGTCAAATAACACAGAATATTGTGCTATGACTGTCTTCCCACCATCCCACAGCTTCAACCTTCAGCCTTGAAATCTTACTCTTTTATTTGGTTGCTCCAAGTGAAAAATATTACAGGTGCCCAATAAAATGCATAAGACAATAGTATATTCTTTTAGTTTACTGAATCATGGAAGCTCCTAGGGCCATTCTGAATAATGTCGGTAGGCATCTGTTGTTCCTAGAACTGGACATTTCCCCCATTCCTAAGAGTTGTGGCCTCCCTAAAGCCACCAGCTTAATTAAATGATACAACTTAATTAAATGATACAACTGCTGTCATAAACAACTTGCTGCTTTTGCACCCGATTGGGGTGAGACACCCAAACCCACGTTTCAACCCTCCATACTGGATCTTTACAGAGACCAACCAGATCTATACAACCTAATCCCTGTTACCTCTCTGACCTCATTTCCTACTACCTCCTCCCCACTTTACCTATTCCACTCCGGTCACACTGGTATCTTTCCTCTGTGTCTAACTCCTTGACCACACACCAGTGGAGGACTTTTGCATGAGCTAGTAGCTCTGATTAGAAAATTGCAAAACTTGCTTATAAAATTGGAGGAGTGCTGTGCTTTCAATGTCTGTCAACACCTTGAGAGTAAGCAGCACAGTAGCAATCCCAGCTCCATGAGATTTTTGCAAAAGTTTCTGTACGTTTAGCCTCCCTTCAATGGCAACATCTTGGCAATTTCTCACAAGTTCTTCCCTTTCTATCACCATAATAACCTTTATACAAAGTTAAGTAGTGGGAGCAGGTCCATTCTCAGGAGATATAGGAGAAATTAACCATTATCAGAAACTGTCTCTCCTAGTCCAATTGTATTTGTTTCCAAGGTTTTATCCAGACAGTATGTGGACATTTAAAAATTATTTATTTACTTTAATAAGTATGTGAAATATAATAAATATGTGGACAGTATATGGACTTTTAATAAGCCTAGCTAAGTTGCGCTAGCCAACCTACATTTGAAAGGTCTTTTCTGGGTCAGGGTCTCCTAACTTGCTGATGTGATAAATGTAGGTGAGCACCGCAGGTGTTTTCCCCTAAAAACATAAGGAATTTTAGTGCTGAATATCTAACTATATCTATTCATAATAACAGACTAATTTTCTCCAAGATCAGAGGAATTGTAGGATATCACCAAGATATAAAACACATTTTACAAAACAATGAACTCCAGGCCAAGTACCAACTGTCTGTGTTTGTCTGCTGCTGTTGTCTTTTCAGCACCACCATGTTGGCAAAACATCTTCGTCAGCTGCAGAGATGATGCAGAAGCTGTTCTCCCTTGCTTCTTCAGCCCTCAGGCTGGTAATGCCACCCAACCAGTGAGCTGTGATGTAGAGCTTGGAACAAGACTAACAGTCATATCAACTTTCCAATCTCTACTAATATGCAATCATTTGAAATGCCACAAGCCAGAGAGAGGGCAAGACTTTCATCTCATCTCATTAAAATCACACTGGGATGAGATGGAGGCAGCATGGGCACCACCTGTCACATCAAGTGAGGAAGAAAGTGGTTCTCCACAAATTAAAATTAATAATAATAGACCAGGTTCGGTGGCTCAGGCCTGTAATCAATCCCAACATTTTAGGAGGCCAAGGCAGGTAGATTACTTGAGCCCAGGAGTTTGAGACCAGCCTGAGTAACATGGTGAAACATGATCTTGACAAAAAGTACAAAAAATTAGCCAGGTGTGGTGGCAAGTGCATATAGACCCAGTGACTTAGGAGGATGAGATGGGAAAATCACGAGCCCAGGAAGTCAAGGCTGCAGTGAGCTGTGATTGCATCACTGCACTCCAGCCTAGGCATCAGTTTTTTTGAGATCATGTCTCAAAAAATTAATAATGTGTTATTGATGGCTGTGGATTCTTCTACACATTCCTCCCCAAAAATGTCTTATTAGCAGTTTGCTATGAGTTAAAAGAGGGCATTGGCAATAGATTCTTAAGTGAAACTTCCCAAAACAACCCAATTGTATGAATGTTTTCAAGATTTTGCATTAGGCATGTTTTATGAATTAGTAACACTAATAAGCCTCTTACTTCCAAGAAACGCATTTCTTGGAATTTACTCAAAGCTTTTCCTTTCTCCCCTGACTTCCATTAGATAAATTATGTTTTGCCAACTTAAAGTAAATGATGTTTCCCTGAAAAGTTGACAAAGTACCTTACCAACGATAGCACTTTTAAAAGTAATCATCACAAATACTATTAGGGTGAAAATAAATCACATTGAATATAACTCAGTGTGTTTCATTTTTAATAAAGTTACTTAACTATGACAATATTCTTGAGGGCCTGTTAAGTGCAATGCCCCATGCTATCCTCTATGGAGAACTCAAAGATGAGCAAGATGTGTCCCCAAATCTCAATTAACGCCTACTCAACTGGGTGCCCTTCAATAGTACACAATAACAGACCATCTTAATGAAAAGTAGTAGTCTAATTGATCTTTGGCATCTTGAGACTAATGACATAAGTTATTTCATTTACATCACAAAACAATAGCAGAATGTAGGGTCTGCTGATTGATACTTATTTAAATGACTATGGTGAGAAGTAATAAGCATCATAGTCTTTTAAATTACCAATCTCCTGAGCGATTTTTCTTTTCCATTTAGGATTAGTTTCCATTCTTGAGTTATAAATGCTATCTACTACAGTTTTCTGAAATGAGTTTTTTGGGTGTCTCAGCAAGTTTAACTTTGCGCTGGTTGGACGTGATGTGTGAATGTGCGTGTGAGTCTGCTTATTAGAGCAAGCTCTCATGGCAACACCTGCTTGTCCTTGATTCTCTTAATGAATTGTCTTGGCATTACCAAATGGCACCACAAACCAATTATGATACGCTGTGTAGAAGCCATGCACCAACATTGCTCTCAAAAAGCAGGCCACTTCTTGTAATCCTTTTGACAATTATATATGCATGCAGTACACATATTCCATATGTAGGAAAACATCTCTAACTTACATTTTATAGCAGTTTGTGTTTACAAAATGTTTTCACTATCATAACTCACCTATAGCTTTTCCTCCGCTTGTATTTGTACCACTGTGTGCATTTATGTATGTACATGTGTGTATTGCTTAAGCTAGAAACCTTGGTATCTCCTTTATTATTGCTTTTCTTTTTATATGTACGTACAGCCCATCTCCACATTAAGTTAGTTTTATCCCTGAAGTATCTGCCCACCTGTCCCCTAGTCCACAGTCTCAGCTAAACTTGCTGTAATGTCTTACCTGTCTTAATGCTACAATTTCCAACTGGTCTCCCCTCCTCCACATCCACATTTGCTCTATCACATTCATTTCTCTACAGGCAGCCAGAATAAACTTCCAAAATGCCAATTTGATTATAATGCCCCCTGTTTAAAACACATCCCTGGCCCTGTTTGCTCTTAGAATAAAGCCCAAACTTCTCAACCTGGCCAACTAGGCTCTATTTTATCCAAGTTTTTCTTTTCTTTTCTTTTCTTTTTTGAGCTTACTTCTTCATGACAACACTTACATAGCCATGAAGAATTATTAGATTGAATCATATGAAAATGAAAATGCCACTACTCAACCATTTTGCAAAACAAATATGATACATTGTTGTTGTTCAAACTAAAATAGGCTAGATATTTTCTTCTTTCTCTTTGACTTCATGTGTCTGCTTCCTTCTGTCTGAATATATTTTCTTAGTTCTTTACCTGGACAATTCCAACTCATCATTCAGATTTGAATCTAGACTTAAAAATTCTTTTTTGGAAGCCCTATCTGACTATATCATCCTCCTTTCTAGATTCAATTAGGAATTCTGCTTTTTGCCCACGTACAAACTGAACATCCTGCACAACATTGTAATTGTTTCATCTTTCTGTGTCCTACACCTATACGTAAGTTTCAGGAAGGCCTAAGACAGGCTTATTTTGATCACAAATGTAACCCAAGTGTCCAGCACAATACCTAGCATATAGTAAGCTTTTTAAAATGAATTGCCAAATAAAGAATAATTAAGCTAATAAAAATATAATGAATTAGATATTTATTTCCTTCACCTCATTTGGTTCTCTCAACAAATTCTAATGTTTCTGCCTTTTGACACTGTACTAGCATTATGTATTATATCATTGGGGAAAGTTGGGGAGATGATTCACAGTTCTCTATGTACTAATTTTACGATTTCCTGTGTGACTATAGTTATTTCTAAATATAAGGTTAAAACACAGTGATGTACACAGGCCAAAGATGATAATTTCTATTTGTATCTAATAAACAAGGCTTAGAAGATGAGTAATTTATGCAAATCATATAATTAGTAATTGACAGACACATGACCTGGCCATTTTTTAGTGAAGCCACCCAGTTTTTTCCTTCCCCTGGCTCTTCAGGTGGACCTAGCACCAAGTACCATGTTTTGTCCCTGAAAAACTTAACATTGTACCCCAGATCTTCTATGTTGATTTATAATTGTTTCACTAAAGTGAGAAGATGAACAAGAAGGAAACAGGATAACACCTTTAGGTTTCTCTCTTAAAGCCTAAATTCTGGATTCATCTTAAGCAGCCAGCTTCCTCTTTCTTTCTTTTTGCTCTCACCTGGACTCCCTTTACTTATTAATAAGTTCGTTTGTTCATTAAACAGTCTTTATTGAAATTTGCCATATCTCGCACTATACCCTGGAAACTGTGAAAAGAACCAAAAAGTACAATACAGCCCTGAGGGCAGAGGATGGAGGGTAGATGAACCTTAACTAGAGGGCAGTGTTGTAACTACTGCTTCAGCAATAAGTACAGAGAGCTCAGCACACAACAGGAAGGCCCTGACTTGTGCTTCAGAAGTGTAAGGTCTTTTTTAAGAGGGTCATTTCTAAATAAAATGCTAGCAGTAGGAAAGCCAGATATATTTACTCTGTGTATAGGAAGACTGAGTGGCAGGATGGGTGAGGTGGGAGTTGTTGAGGGAAAAGGGATTATATACAAAGATGCTAAGGCAGGAAGAGCAAGTTTGGGAGGTCTCTCCTAAGGAGTAGGCATGGCTCTGACCCAAACAGCACAAATTCCTACCTTTACATTCAGAAGAAAAGTTAAGACTTTGTCTTGCTTCTCCCACCTAAGACACCTAGAGAGCAAGGTATGAGGAGGGGTGGACCTTGCTATTCTCCATGGCTAAGGGTAGCACATCTGTCTTCTTTATTGCGTATGTGTGATCTTTGTCACCAATACCGAGATGCTGACAGGCTGTTTCCTGGAAAGTGAAGAGAGTATGAAAGGAAGGAAAAGGGAAGCAAGGAACAAACACAACTTTTGGAATTCAAAGAATTGCATTAATTTCTCCTTTTTTTTTTTTTTTTTTCCTTTTCTAGGTAAGTGAAACCAATTTTTATTACACAACAGTGGTTACTGGACTCTCTCAACATGTAATGACTTTCTCCACTGAATATGCCGCGGGGAGACATTTCAATATCTTCCATCGCTGCTGTTTGACTCGTGAGTCTATCCAGAATTTCTAAATAACCAATGAGTAACCTAGGATTAAGAAATATTTAAATGTTTTTATCTCTATATGATGTTTAGTTATATCTTATTTAAGGTAAGTGGGCCTATTTAAATCGTGATTTTAATAAAAAAAAAAACTAAAGAGAATATTATTCTCTTTATAGCAATATCCATGATAAATTTCCGTTAGAGAACAATCTTCTTTAATGTGTTTTTCTTTATTTAATTTGCATTAAACACATTTTGAGGGGGATCTTAAGATATGTGTCCCTGATCGTTCGAAGTACACCTCTCTGTGTGTGTTAGCACTTCTCTTTGTTTCTTTCCCCTTAAGAGATGGACTCAAACGTATGGAAGTGGCATGGTTTTTGGTGTGCTCTGGAGTATAGGATATTAAAATATATGGCTTCTTTCCTGTTGCATCATCCAGTTCTACTCTGATGTCAGCATTTTAAGCTTATAGAAAATGAGTTCTTAGAGGTGGTGTGTTTAGTAGAATGTAGTTGGCAAGATGGGAAATAATAGTGAAAAGAGGAAAAATAATGCTTGGGAACTCTCAAGTAAATATTAGAACAGTGACTTCTCCTAGAAAATTGGCAGTGACTCCTCTCGGCCTGTAGCTGGGTTTGGCTGCTCTTTGACTTTTCATACTTGGCAGTTCTTCAATTCTTTATCCCGCTTTCCAAAATCAGTTTTTGTTTTCTGCATAGAATACGTCAGCCATGTTGTATTTTGCTATTTGCATTTGCTTGGCATTTCGGATGTTCTAGAGAACTGAGTTGTGTGCCACTGCATGTAATTTGGTACAGGTACCAATGTCCTCCACAGACAGGTGACATACCTCCTTATTCATAATAATTATCCTAGCCGATGGAGCCCATCCAGTCAGCCCCTTTGCTCACCTGATGGGACAGAGGTTTCTGAGGTGCTGCTGATTTCTTGTTTGAAGTCTGTCATCAACATCCATGTGTGAAATTATTAATTACAAAGCACAATGGAATGATCTTAGAGCAAAAGATTGAACAGTTTTACCTGAAGGTCACTCTTGGAATTGGCTCTCTGTGATACATTATTATAAACATTTCATTTTGTTTCTTGTTAATTGAGTGCCTCGCTCAATAATTTACTATTGTGTGTCAAAATGGGTCTTGCTATATACGGAAAATGTAGGATGAATGTATTGCTGTGTATAATGTAGTTTTTAATTTCAGACGTGAAAATGGCCCAAGTATCTCTGCTTTTAAACACACACACACACACACACACGCACACGCACACGCACACACACACACACACACACACACAATAGTGCTGATGTAATTAAAGAAAGCAACCATGAAATTTCGAATTCATGTCAGCTCCAGTAGCACCATGGATTTTATCATAATATTTGTATAGCACAATATAAAAAGAGCACTAGCCTTAGAGTCATAAACTCAGAGCCTAAATCTAAGTTCTATTTTTTACCATCTTGTGACGTTGAGTCAGGCACTTAATCTTGCTGAGTCTCAGTTATTTTTTAATATGTAAAATGGACATAATGGTAATTGTTTTCTGAAGTTATAATGAATATGCTGAGAATAAAATTTAATGAAATATGTGTAAAATTCCTGATACATTATTGATTATCAATAAATGGTAGCTGACATAAAGGAAGAGAAGAAAAAGGAGGAGAAAGTTGGGGGAAAATGATGGTGATGATGGTGGTAGTGGTAATGGTGTTCTGAACCTGGAAATATCAACGTCATAGCTGTTTTTAGGCATTGCTTTTGTTGCGTCTTTATGATTTTCACATAAATGTGAACAACTACCTAACATAGAATTTTAATTGCCAAACTCTTGATGTTGTTTACAACCATATTATACAAAATAACAGATGGCTGTATTATTAGACATTAGCTGTAGATTCGCAGTAGAAAAGTTCCAGTTGTGATTAAGTGTTGCCAAACTGGCTGGGTCCTAATGAAGCAACTTTTAGAGTGTGACTGCTGGGATCTCAGCTGGGCTCCTGTGTTGCCACCTGGGCAAGTGAACCAGTGAGTGGCCAAAGGAGAGGGTATTTCAAGCATGAAAATAATGAAGCCCTCCCTTCCAGCACTCACTTCTCACCAGGTTTTAGAAAATTGACTTTTTTTTTTTTTTCGCCAAGATTAATCTTCACATTTCTACCATGCTGTCATCTCCACCATTGATAAGAAGAGCAACAAGAATAATAGCTAACTTGTATGTACTGCTTCCTCTGTGCCAGGCGCCATTCTAAATGGTTACATGTGTTTATTTAATCTGCGCAGTAAAAGTTTGTGACACGCATGGTTATTGTTTGCTTTTTAGATGGGAAACTTGGTTGTAAAATATTTGAGTGATTTTTCCAAAATATTTGTTCTCCAAGCTTGTGCTCTAAACCACTATGAATATTGGCCTTATATTAAGAGATTTGAAATTTCTTTATCTTTGTGTTAAGCATACCTCCTTTGAGAGTATCTTTTTTATCATAAATATCATGATTATAACTGTGATTTTTAACATCTTACTAAGGTTTACATCCCAGGCAATGTACATATATTATCTAATTTTACTTCCATAATAACCACTCAAAGACTGTATCTTTTCTTTTTTTATTTTATAGTTGAAGAAATAGCACTCAGATAAGTGACTCTATAAGACTATGTGATGCAGCTAGAGAGTGGCAGAGTCTGACCTGAAGCCAGCTTTGTGACTCCCAAGTCTACGCCCTTATCTTCCATCCCATGCTAACCACTAAACAACATTAAATAGGATATCCTTAGTGCATAGTGTGACTACTTCAGTGATATATGAGTTGTGGGGATTTGTACATTTAAGGAATGTGTTCTCTATGTGGTCTCCCAGCTCAGTGTGGTGTCCCTTTACAGAATAGCTCTGTGACACAGCTGACGTCCATATGCCGAAGGCAGTGATGACAAAAGGCACCACATTTCTTATGGTTGCTGACTACTCAGTGATGCTGAGCAAGCCTCCCTTGGGCAGCTCTATAGCCCTGTTTATTTTTTTCCTAAAAAATGCAGGTCTATACAAAAATGTATCTGTGATTTGGGTGTATCTCCTGTTTTCACTTCACATAACCTATCCTCTATAGCCATTCAGAACATCTGAGCAGCAGACACTACTTCAAAAATACTCCCATTTTTATCATCACCCAAAAGAACTTCTAAATCCTCACCATCTCCTTTCTTTTGCTTGCATTCTCAAAGATATTAGCTATGGATTTATGAGATATACTTCTCCAATATACCATTATTAAGTTAATGTCTATGCTCCTCTGAACCGTATCATTTGAGTACGAAGCTTCGATATCCCTTAAAACTTGTGTTGATTATTTACACATTTGTTTGAATGAGTTTATAAAATAATTTCTCAAAATGGATGTTGGTCAGGTCATTGAGAGTGACATCATGAAGGTCCTGGGTATCTGGGGAAGCGTAGCAGGCACTTCTAGTGGAAGAGGAAAAAGAGAAGACTATATAATGAGGCAGGAGACATTTTTGCCTACTAGTCAATTTCTCCTACTGCCAGTATGGTTTCTGTCACACTTTCTCTCAATGAGTAAGGCATAAGGTCTCTGGTAATAACTGTCTACTCTCAGAAATTACATTTATGATGAAATGGTCTGCCTCAGGCTATCTATATTGATTGTTTTCAGGAAAATGTAGGATAAGCTAGGAACATATCCTGGTACCCATTACATTCTTTTTGAAACGAGATTTATTTGTTCAAGTGTGTTGGCTTTTAGGTCAAGATGGGAGCAGAGGATAGAATAAAACAGGTAGTAAAGTAGATGAGTGTATGTGTTTTCATAACTTTAAGACTAAAAAACAAAAACCTCCAACCAATAATGTGATTTAAGAGTGCTTTTAAAACTGCATAGTGGTTATTTTTATGGGTTTTATCATTTCCTCTCATACTAGAGACTAAAAGGAAGTCCATGGAAACCATGTATAATCACATGAGGAAGCGCACTCACCAAATCTGAAGAAGTTTGACATGTAATACTTTCAAGGATTAGAGGAAAAGAAGGAAATTCTCCAAGGGTTCTGTGTTCTTATGAAGCAGAATAATGATAAAGTGATTATGCATGGAAATTTCTTCTGTAAAAATAATACACTAACCTAAACATTTTAAATTGAGTTTTGAAGAACTCTTTATACACAAACACATACAAAAAATTCGTTTTTTCTCTAGTATTCCTGTGGTTATTACCTAAGACATTTTTGACCAATTATATGTTTTATTTAATCTTTACTGATAAAATATATAGGATGTATTCCAGTTGGTCCATATCTTTCATGATGGGACTTAAAATTGAACTGAGCATGTCAAGCATTGTCTTGCCAGGGCAACTCATGTTTCTGCAGAGAAAAAGTAATTACTCCAGGAACATACAGTAGGTATTGCAGCTGTTGCCCCAACGAGGATGTTCTTTCAGTTATACCTCCCTAAAGTTAGGCTGTAGGGAGTAGTAGTCTGAGTTGATACACACATGTGGCCTGCAATTAGAGAGCCTCCATCCATAACCTGTTCCTCCAGTTTACCAGCTGGGTGACCATGACCTCATTGTTGTGGGAATTAAGACATTAATTCACTCTTATTTTCTCTGAAAAAATAGTTAGGTAACCCAGGTACTAGTTTTTATAATTAAACCCCATACAGAATTCTAAAGGAAATTTTCACATACTTTTCAGTGTCTTATCATTATGGCTGGCACTAATGCCGCCATCATTCTATAGGAAAAGCATTTCCTCTGGGGCCTTTCTGCTTCTGACAGTGGTGATGGCTCTATAGATTAATTATGGAGCTTTGCTTCCACACGGCACCACATTTTTAACATTCATATTTCTTCCTGAAGGAAAAGAAATATTTTTGACTCGAGTTTTTAAACTATAATATTTAACTGCTGGTTTGTGCAATTCATCAAGTGTTTTCATAATCTGGTTACTCTCTTGGACTTGTAGAATTTCAAATTAGGAAGGCTAGAATTGTAAATTACTTTTGCATATACAGGCTTGGCCATATGTGTAAAGGAAAGTAGAAAAAAAAGAGAAAGAAATGGCTTAGATTGCTGAAGGAAAAAAACAGCATCCACAATTCAGAATTGCTTCAAATTATTTGGCTATTTGAGTTTTAAGTTTTATTCTGAATGATTTACTTTCTCAAATGCATATTAAACCATGAGGAGTCTTAGACTTATGAGGATCTCAGGTCATCTGAACTTAAATGTTATGAAGTTTTAAGTGTCATCTTTCTCTAGTGATGATCTAGCCTATATCTGAATACTTCTCTCAAATCCAAGATAGTCTTCATTCTCTCTTTGGATGAATTTATTAGAAAATGCTTTCTTCTCTAGACCTGTATTATCACTTCTGGTATTTGCCAGCCTTTGTCCTTTCTCTCCTCAGTGAGATTATCAGTTGTAGCTTTAGAATTCTATTCTTAGCTGGGTGCAGTGGCTCATGTCTGTAATCCCAATGCTTTGGGAGGCCAAGACAGGTGGAGCGCATGAGGTCAGGCTTTCGAGACCAGCCTGACCAACATGGTAAAACCCCATCTCTACTGAAAATACAAAACTAGCCAGGTGTGGTGGCACATGCCTGTACTCCCAGCTACTTGGGAGGCTGAGGCAGAAGAATCACTTGAACTGGGGAAATGGAGGTTGCAGTGAGTGGAGATTGTGCCATTGCAATCCAGCCTGGGCAACAAGAGTGAGATTCTGTCTCAAAAACAAAATAAACAAATAAGTAAAATAAAATAGAATTCTTTTCTTAAACATGGAATATATTTCTCCTTGTCTTTCTTACTATGATGTGTTTCACATTAATCAAATGATTTAATATCATTAATTCTCAATATATCACCTACATAACTACTAGGAGTTTACTTGAGAACTTAACTAGATAACCCAGCATACCTACTTCTCCAGAAAGACACAATCTTAGCATTTCATGGAGGGAAGGGGGCAGACATGCTGAAACATTGCTTCCCCTAGCAATGTTCTGAGTCAATTTTGATTGGACAAAGTTATGCCAGGACAAATAGCTGCAGATGTTCCTTTTTTCAGAAAACTGTCACAGGACTGTACTTCTACTTCTTTTAAAATCCTTTTTTTTTTTTTTCTTAAAGTGATTGCCTGTTGTTCTCTTAGAATGGTCTTTCCTGAAGAAGCTTCAGCTTGCACACTAATTTCAAATTACAAAATAAAATCTGAGAAGAAGAGAGAGAAAAGTAAAGAAAAGAGTAGAAGGAAAGAGGAAGAGAGGGAGACGGGAGGAAATGGGAAAAGGAGAAAGAAGAATTAATTGAGATTTATCTTGAATGTAGAACGGACCTAAATTCATAACTCAGAGAATAAAAAGATTTAAGCAAAAATAGTCTTGATTCATAATAGGAAGCTGAGCCCTTTATACATGGCAAATATTGTTCAAAGGGCTTTAAATATATTAATCTTCCTAGTCTTTCCTAAACCCATTGAAGTAAGTTTCATCATCCCCATCTCTGTAATTGAGGCAACTGAGATGACGAGAGGTCAAGTAATTTGCTTAAAATCACTCAGCTAAGAAATGATGGGGCTAGGAATTGAGCCTAGGAAATATCCTTCCAGAGTTTACACTTTTAATAATACCTCCACCAACAACGACAGCTAACACTAACTGGTCATTACCAAATATCAGCTGCCCTTCTAAATATTTAATCTTGAAAACAAAAAACAAAAAACTCTCTCTGGAGCAAGTCAATATCATTATTCCCTATCAGTAAAGAAACAGAGGCATTGATACATCTAGTTAGCCGTGGCAATGGGATTCATATCCAGCCTTGCCACTATGCTGGAGAGAGAAATTGTCGCCAGGGCCTTCAAGATAATGTGGTCTTGTGGATAAAAAGGGTATGCACATAAGCACTCGGCATATACAGTACTCTAAAATGGTGTATGAATATTTAGCCATATATCAGTGAGTAAAAATTATCATAGTGCAATCTGATTACACAAGCACAGACAGGACACTGAATAGTTTATCTGATGAGGGAGGATAAGTTTTGTCTTAGAAAGTCTAGATTGAAGACATATCCAGCAGGTAATTGAAAAAGTGAAGGACGTGAACAAAGGTTTAAAGAGCTTTCATTTGCCTAGTCAAGTTGTCTTAAGAAGAAGGAGCTAGTTCTGGAATTTGGGGAGAGCAGAATGGCAAATTGAGTTTGAACATAAATCTCTGTAGAGCCAGGAACCCTAATAAGTCTTGTACTAAGACATTGTTAGGGTGCTTACCTGATTCCCCTTGCACCTTTCCCAGCTCTGTTATTTTTAGGCTTTATTCTTATCCCAGTTAGATTTTGAGAAATGTAGTCAGAGAATCAACAATAATGCAGAAGTTTTAAATAACAGTCTTTCCTTCTACCCATCTCCCTCATCCTCAGTCTCAGTTTTCCTGACTGATATTAATGCATGGTTACTAAAAATCTTGCAGTCTCCCAACTCCCCCACAAGAGAGGGGGACTTTACTATATGTAAGTCTTTACTTGGTCAGTTTTGCACTGGACCAGCATCCATAATATAACTTTCGCATCAGTGCCCCCCTTGCTTTCTTTTAGGCCTCTCCTTCCCTGTATGCTTGAGTGCAAAAAGTAATTTCTGCTTCCTGCTTCCCTTATGAAGTTCACATCAGACTTCTCCCTCTTTGAATCTACTCTTGCTTTAATTAGCTATACCAGAATTTTTCACACCTCTTTGGGGATGGGTATCACATTAAATAAAATTGATGTTCTCCCCATGAGTTGGTAATTTCTTATTTTTTCAAATAAATTTAATAAAATGTCCCATATACTATCATTCATATCACATATCTCATTTATATATATACTTGTATAGAGTGAAATTATAACATTGCTATTATAACTTCATAGCTGAAAGGGCAGTTTCATTCTCAAAATATAGAAACAACACCATCTCAACATAAAGAAAGGTCCCTTACATTGGAAAGCAATTGCCATCACAAAAATATTTCAAGGTTGTTTTCCTATATCATCATAGGCTAGCATCTGGGAAATGTTTGGCTAATATACCTATAGGTATGTTCAAATAAGCATAGCTTTCTTTCTTTTCTTTTTTCTTTTTTTTTTTTTTTTGTGACAGAGTTTCACTCTTGTTGTCCAGGCTAGAGTGCAATGGTGCAATCTCAGTTCACTGCAACCTCCACGTCCCAGGCTCAAGCAATTCTGCCTCAGTCTCCTCAGTAACTGGGATTACAGGCATGCGCCACCACGCCCAGCTAATTTTTTTGTGTTTTTTGTAAAGATGGGGTTTCACCACTTTGGCCAGGCTGGTTTCAAACCCCCGACCTCAGGTGACCCACCCTCCTGAGCCTCCCAAAGTGCTGGGATTATAGGCGTGAGCCACTGCACCCCGGCCCAAGCATAGCTTTCTATAACCAATTATAAACTACCTCTTAGCAAAAGTCGTTTCTTTAGGATTTGTGATTGTTTCCACAGCCTCACAGATCGTTAGTGTTTGGGAGCCATTGAAATCATTAAGTCTTGATCATTTTTTCACATGACTTGAGGGCCGTATAATACCTTATGTCGATTACCCAGAGCTAGTTATTTCTGAGTCTCATTTTTATTTATCCTTACTCTGTGTCAGGCCCCATGTTAGACCTGGGGTTTACAAAGAGGACTAAGTGGCATCTTTGTTCTTGGGTATTTCTAACTCAACTTCACACTTAGCCGCCTGCCTGCCCTCTGGACATCATTACTCCACTACCTCCCATTGACTGTCACAGCTGAGCTGAGAATTACTAGCCAGGTGAGGCCCAGAAAACCCTTGAAACAAAGGAAAGAATAATGAAAAATTACTGAGCATCTACTATACATAGGCCTTTCACATAGTATATCAGTGTATGTTTTTCGTATTATCAGAAAAACCTTTGAGTAGGTACAGTCTTCAATAATTTTCTGAGACTGCTATTTAAAAGAAGTTCAGAAACTAGTCGCAGGTTTAAAGGTAGCCTAAGGACTGTTGTAAAGTTTTTTTTGTCTGATATTTTTTTTAACACACCTAGATTCCTTTAAGAGAGGAGAACACAAAGACCCAACTTGGTTACCTAGTGGAAGCTGAGCCACACATGATTTCTATTATATACAACCTTTGTGTTTACATGATTACCCTCTGCTCTTAACTTTGGCATTGTTTGCTTGCTGCTCTTTACCTAAAACATCTACAAGGCTATTTTTAAAATCAGGATATAGTTTCAGTTTACATTTTACAACTTCAGTGAAGCAATCCCTGATCACTCCCCTGTGTAGTTACCTTCTCATTACTCTTTTTCCTTTCCGTGTTATATTTTTTTCCACTTACTGCAATCTGAAAGCATCTTATACCGTTGTTTATATTTCTAACACATAGAGTAGTATCTAGCACAAAATATGCCCTTGATAAAATTGTTGAAATACATGCATTTTTCATGTAAAATTAGTATTGTTATTTTTTATTAGAATACCACCTCTTTGAAAATCCTAAGTATGCTTGTTCTTGCAATAGGTATGTTTCTAAAGAGTTGTGTAGTTTTCATGCTGTTAAAAGATAAACCAAAATACAAATTTGAAATTATGTAACACGTGTAGCAATTTTAAGAGAACTATAAACCTTAAGGCAAAAAGAAAGCCCTATGTAAATAGGTTTCTTTTCAGTAATTCACATGTATATGTTTATCTTATGGTAATATATCTTCCACATCTCAAAACTGACATATATTTAAGATGTCTCTGCTAATGAGGAGAATTATGTATTGAGTTTCTAGTAATGAACACCTGGATGCAGTTCTCCTCTGCTGTCAGCAGGGGTCTCAAAAAGCCTTTTACCCACCAAAAAGTCTATTAAAAATTAGTGAGTTATTTGTTTCGTTGTAAACAAAATGAATTTATTAAATGCATTTTGTTAAATCTTTGTGTCTTGTTTCTAAATGATACATGTTTGTTTTTGCTTATGTGCATTGATAACAGTTATTTAGTGTTTACCTAACGCTAAGTTGAAAAGTATATCTTAACAAGTATCAGAACACACAGTGGAAAATAGGCCTGATTTGTGTTTCCAACTAGAGTGCACAAACTTGAGGTCCTTAACATATTTCCTGTGTTTAAACAAGTCCACAGAATTGCATGCAACTAATAGTTGTATAAAACCAGCCTACAACTCTTTAGTCTAACTCTTTCTAAATAATTCACTGACTGGTTTGGGATGCAGCTGATCGCACTTGCCTTGTAAAATGTGTTTTCTGCTCCTTTTAGATCAGTCCCAACAGGGCCTGCCAGGCACAAGAACTGCCTCCTGGATGCCCATAAACACTGCAATCCTGATTTGAGGGAGGGTAGCAGAGGTCCCAGCAGCCTTTTTACCTTCCTTCTCTCAGTTCTTAACAGTGTTGGCATTTCCCCTTTCTCTCCATTCTGCAGCAAAAGGTGAGAAAATTCCCCTTAGCAGACCATTTCTCTTCCAGAGTAGTTTTCTTCCCTTGTACTCACTGATGTTTGCTTGTTATTCACAATGCCCTAAAGCCCTTTCTTCAAGTTGCCCTCTGTTTTCACTCCCATTATCAGTAGGAATTCCAGCTTGCAAATAATCAGTAGAAAAGTTAGCATTGCCAAAGCCCATCTTTACGTGCACTTTCATAAGATTTGTGATAAGGAATACTCCCAAATTAAGTGCTGATTGTTGGTGGTATCCCTCGGTTTACTATATCTATCTAAAAAAATGGATGAAAGGATGAATAGCTGAATGGATGGTTAGATAGTTTAAAAATGTGAACATGTGAGTAAATATATTCATACTACCTATACATATAGATATATATGAATATTTAGTAAATATATACTATGTATGAACACACTGTATAAGAAAAGCACATATATGTATACATATTTTAATAACCCTAGTTTTATCTCTCTCTCTTTTTTTTTCTTTTTTTGAGATGGAGTCTTGTTCTTTCACCTAGGCTGGAGTGGTGCAGTGTTGGCCCACTGCAACCTCCATCTCCAAGGTTCAAGCGATATTCCTGCCTTGGCCTCCTGAGTAGCTGGAATTACAGGCACGTACCTCCACACCCAGCTAACTTTTGTATTTTTAGTAGAGGTGGGTTTTCACCATGTTGGCCAGGCTGGTCTCAAACTCCTGACCTCATGATCTGCCCACTTAGGCCTCCCAAAGTACTAGAACTACAGGTGTGAGCCACTGCACCTACCCTAGTTTAACTCTTTATCAACTTGTCTATTACGTAGTAAAACCTAGGAATGCTAACAATTGACATTTCTCCTTCTGTGCTGACCACTGAACTAGGTCAGAATGGTCAAAATCCTGCCTTCAAAACCTTATAATTTATCAAACGTCACAAACGTCAGCACACACAAACCTCATGAGCACTTACAAAATGATATGGAGCTAAATTCAGACACTGTGTAAAATGCATATGTGCTGAAAAGAATAAAATAACACCATAGTGCTAAGGTAGGATTTGATTTATAATAGAAGATATTCCCGTGAGAGAGCATTGTGAGTCCAATGGGAAAGCCATGGTGTATTGGTCTGTCCTCATGCTGTTAATAAAGACATACACAAGACTGAGTAATTTCTAAAAGAAAGATGTTTAATGGACTTACAGTTCCACATGGCTGGGAGGCCTCACAATCATGGCAGAAGGCAAAGGAGAAGCACAGGCATGTCTTACATGGTAGCAGGCAAGAGGGCTTCTGCAAGGGAACTGCCATTTATAAAACCATCATATCTCATGAGACTTATTCACTACCACGAGAACTGTATAGGGGAACTGCCTCCATGATTCAATTATCTCCCATTAGGTCATTCCCATGACACATGGGAATTTTGGGAGCTACAATTCGAGATGAGATTTGGTTGGGGAGATGGCAAAAACATATCAAATGGGTCAATCGGTTTGTCATAGAAAATGAACATCCGAGAGAAAAAGGATGCAGCAGGGCTGCAGAATCTGTAAAAGAAAGCTTGAGCAATGTGAGAAGTCACCTGGCTGGGGTATCCAAGACTTGCTCATCTTTGGGAGGATATGGGCTTGGACTAGTGGTTTCCCCACTTGTGAAGAACTAATAACTCAGTCAATGCTAATTGAAAAAGCATTGTCAAATTCATTCATTCACTTATTCTTTCATTAAATCACTTTCTCCCTTGTTCATTAAACTACAAGCTCATATCAGCCTCTTTTTTTTCCCCATAGGGCCTTTTAAAATGCTATTCCTTCTGTTTAAAATGTTTTTCCCCCATATTTCATCATGTGAGCCTTATTCTCCTTTCTCAGGTCTTATTAATAATTATTTTAATTCCTCAAAGTGGCTTTTCCTGACCAAATTTTATCACAGCATCTTGATTGTTTTTCACAGAATCTCAAAATTTGTCATTACTTATGCATTTTAGACAAATGAGTTGTTTGTATTTCCCAGGGGAGTGAATATGTATGGAAGATGGAATATTTGTTTTCTCTGCTACTGTGTGCCCAGGGCCCAGGATGGTGCCTGGAACAGAGTAGGCACTCGATAAATATTGCTGTTAAGTGTGTGTGTGTGAGTGAAACCATGTAAATAAATATGAAGAGATTCAAATTAAAAGTCTTTTTGCAAAATCAAAAATTAAAATTGAATCTAGATTAAGTCTAGCCATGTCTAGAAGAACAATAATTCCAGGTGCTTATATATAAATAATGTTAGGTATTAAAATTATATATGGTCTGTAGATAAATATTTAAAATACAAACTGATGCATATACTTAAAGGGACATCATTCCCTATTTCTCAAAGGTACAAGTGAATATATATGTATATGTTAAGGAATTATAAGCCTCCTGGGATATTGAAAGCAATATCAGAAGATATTAGAATGTCCCTGTCTTATAAGATTAACATACTCGTCTTTACTCATTCTAATCTACAAGATCTGTCATCATTAACAGCAATATCAGCATCATTAATATTTATTAATTACTTACAAGAAATTGTACAACTGGTTTAGAAGTAATCCCTGCCTATATGGAAATTTGCAAGCTATAACAAATGACATTTGTATGGGTGACAAGGTGAATTTCTATGAACCAGCAAATGTCCAACAACAATTAACATATCATTAGATTATGCCTGTGTTCACACCTCCAGTCTCAATAAATGGTTTACTTAATTATCTAATGGTTGTTATTGAATATTAGTGCTACCTCATGCATCAGAGCAGTTGTTTACTGAAACAAGTAAACTTGTGAATTGAATATATGCTTCCTTATATATTCCCAAGAATAATTTCTCTTTTCTACCATGTTATCCTAAAGAGAATCTAAGCTCCATCAGGGCAGAGGATTTACTTACCATGTTCACAGCTATATCTTCATCTCCCAGAACTGGTGGCTTCTAGGAAGTTAGGGGCAATAAATATGTGTTCAACAAATTATCAAGTTCGGAAATTTTAGTTAAATATTGAGTGCTACTACATGTCAGAATATAGGCTAGATACTTGGTATTATCTTATCTAATCTTCACTATAGGTCTACAATTTTGTGTTGTTATTATTCCCATGTTAAAAATAAGGAAACTGAGTTTTAGAAAGATCATCTTGCAGAGAGTACACATCCAGTCAATAATGGAAAGAGTTTGTCCTCAGGCTCTGTAGCTCCAAAAGTTACATACCTTCCACCATGCTATTTACACTATCAGGTCAAGAAGCCCTTGAAAGTTGTTACGGTGGGGATTCAGGCACAAGGAAGGCTTGGGTTGGATGGTCTCACTATGTTAATATTGTGTAGTGAGTAGATGAGGTAAGATATTATTCAGTAAAGTCCCACAGAAGTGCCCATAAAAGCAAAATTAACCATTTTACGAGACAGCATAATAAAACCCTAGATGTTAAAAATAGTAGAAAAGCTGCACCATATGATTTTAAGTAAAATACTAGTGAAGAGAAAGAAGAGCATGGTACTTTATAGAGTATTAGCTGTTAGATGAAAAACTAAATGGATTCTGAGTTCTGCCTCTTATAAACAACGTAGCTAAGGTGTATTTAGTTTCTGTGTGCCTAAGTAGACTTATGTGTATAATGGAGAAAACTATCACTAACTAATAACAACGTAAATATAAAGTGTGTGTTACAGTGACTGTCACACACTAAATAATAAATGTTGCCGATTATAATTCATTCATTTTGTTCCAGAAAGAAGGCATGACAAATGTCTTCCAAGTTCTATGGCTAAAAATCCAACTCAAACAATAAATGGCGTGTTTCCTGTTTAAAGATGCTATATACTGTGTTCATCTCTAAGTCTCTATTCATAACTACGTATGTGGATAGCTTAGAGTTATAACAAACTTTCAATCATAAATGTGGTTCGATCAATACAATTGCCTTTCCTTTCCTTGACTGATAAAGTTACTAAATTGTGTGCTTTTTGCAGAGAATTTCTTATGTATTTCATTCCCTACAAAGTAAAATGTAGTCAGAAGATAGAGATCTATGATTGGTCCAGTAAAGAATAATGTATTGTTTTAACATCAAACATCTCAACTACCAAACTACCAATTTGGATGGTAAAATCCTAGAATTCAACCCTCTTTTGTCATCATGGATACCAATACACTGGGGACAATGCATTTAGCAAGATTTTATTTATAGTAAAATCTCCTCTAAGGAAGACTCCATCTGTATCAGCAGTCTCCAACATTTTTGCCATCAGGGACCAGTTTTGTGGAAGACAATTTTTCCATGGATAGAAGAGGGGATGGTTTCCGGATAAAACTATTTCACCTCAGATTATTAGGCAATAGATAGATTTTCATACAGAGAGTACAACAAGATCCCTCTCATGGGCAGTTCACAATAGGGTTTGCACTCCTATGAGAATCTAATGCCATGGCTGATCTTACAGGACGTGGAGCTCAGGCAGTAATGCTTGTTCACCTGCTGCTCCACTCACCTCTTTCTGTGTGGCTTACTTCCTAACAGGCCATGGGCCACTATTGGATCTGTGTCCCAAGGGTTGGGGAACCCTGATCTATAACATGAATCTTCTAAAAAAAGAAAAAAATAGACTTCTCCTTTTCTATATCTTTTCCAGTACTGATCATTGCTATTTTTCCACTCCACATTTATTATTAACATTAAATCATAGGTATTTCTTCATATAACTACTTATTCTCCTTGAATTCTATTTCAATTATGTATGGGCTTATAATTTGCTTAATCAATTTCCTATGTTAACAATGTACATGTTAGACATATACATTTTTTCCTGTTTGCTGTTTTATAAATAACATTACATAAATTTTTAAAAATATACTTCTAAATATGTATTTATTTATTTTAATATACTTCCTGTAGGATGAATATCTGGGCATGGCCAAAGGGTTTGAAGACTTTTATGCCACCTGAATTATAGAGAAAAATATTTTCCCAAGGGGTTGCATCAGTTTGTCAGTCGCAGTTGATGAGTATGCCAGATTTAACATTGCCTTTCTATTATTGAGTTTTTTCTTTATCATTCTTTCATTAGTATGAATGACATAAGCTTATATGTCAGTTTAATATGGACTTCTGTTTGAAGTATCTGGTTTACCATTTTCAATAACTTAATTGTAATTCTTCTTATATAAATTATTCTTCCTTATTAACCTTTTTCCCTTAGTTATTGATATCTCGATTT